TTTAATGACTATCTTCCCTGTAAGAATTATGAATTTTAGGGTCTGTGTCTGTGTCAGCCTTTACTTGTCTATAGTGTACCTGAGCTGTTGGCTCAATGCCATGCATTGTCACCTATTCCACAACTATTGATTCAGTGCCAAGGCTCTCTATTCAGCATTGGGGAGCCAACAGTTAATAATACTAAGTTTCTGTCTTCATAGACATTCATTCTAATGGAGTGAGAAATATAATAAACAAAGCAGTAAACATATAAGAAGTCAGATGGTGATCAGGGCTATGATTAAGAGCAATACAGGTACTATCACTGGACAGGGGTTCCAGGTGATCCTCCAAAGAGGAGAATGGGACCTCAACACCCCAGTGAGTTCTTGACTTTACCTGCTGAAAATAAGAAAAGATTTTTTGTTGTTGTTGTTGTTGATGATGTTTGTTTTTTTGTTTGTTTTTTTGACAGAAAAGTGTGCACACCACAGGCAGAGTGTGGGTGCCCTTCACCTCTCAGAGAAGACAAGTGATATACCCAGGGTTGAGCTCTCTAATTAAATATATGATGATTTTCCTGGGAAGCAATGTGCAGGTTTTCAGTCAAGTCTTTGAAAAGCAAGTCCATGGCAATCATTAAATATTTGGGGTTCAGAATATTTCTCTTTGGTCAAACAGTCTACCTATTAGTGATATGGATAGCAGATTGCATAAGTCTTTGAATCCAGTGGCTTTTAAATTAATTCTGTTTCTGTTCTAATTGATCTGTTAAATGCTATGCTGGAGATTTTGTTCATCTGACCAAAGGGACAAATACTCCTGGTCATGTTCCTAGAACTGGTTCTTCCTCTACTAAGTGTCCTTTTTCTCTCTCTCTCTCCCCAAGAGCCCACATAAATTAGCAATGGGCTAAAAATGATATGAGGTGAGAGAGAACTGTATTAGGTGGGGTATTTAGGGAAGGCCTTGTGAAGCAGAGACTTGGAAATTGTGAGAGAACTAGCCACAACCACTTCCAGGGAAAGAGCCTGTTTGACAAGAAAATGTGTGCAAAGTCAGAGCTATGTGCGTGTGTTTAAAGAACAGGAAAGCCAGTGTGGCTAACTTAGAAGAAGCAAGAAGAGGGAGTTAAGGTCTTAGAAGCCAGATCATGCCAACAAAGGTTAGAAGCCTATTATAGTAATTCAGTGAGAGGTGACAGTAGTTCAGACCAGGTTGGTAGAAGTAAAATGGGGGAAAGTTGGATGGCAAGAAAAAGCCAGAAAGACAGAGTTAGTAAGATTTGCTAGTGGATTGGTTGTAGGTGTGAATAAAAGAGTGGGTTCAAGGCTGATTGTAGATTTTTTTTTAACCTAAAGCAGTTAAAAAAAAACAGGTGTTGATATAATGAAATGGGAAGGACACCAAGAAGAGCAGTTTTAGGGCAGAGGGAGATTTGGAAAATTAAAGAGTTGTGCATGTCAGTGCCTCAGTAACATTCATTGGAATGAATGAATCATTCTTACACTTACTTTAAAAAAATATTCAACCAGGAAGAAATGGAGGATGTAGAACTCTTTGGGTAGAAATATAATAAAAGAGAGAAACAGAACTACCCTCCACAGTCCTTTGAGTACCAAAGTTTTATTACGATTTCATTGGCAGAGTTTAGGGGTTAAGGATCTGAGGCTATTATAGCATAATCTGATAAACCCATGAATGTGCTCTTTTCTGAGATGATCATCAATTTCTATCAAACTGTGTCCCCAAAACAACTAATAGGAATCAATAAATTAAGTCAATATATATCTATTTAGCATCTGTTAATTCTTCCCTTGGAGGTTTCAATTTAAGCTAAAATAAGTGAAATGTGCCAAAAATTTTAAAATACTGTTGTTCTTTCACTCTCCCTCCTCCCTTCCTCCCTCCCTCCCCCCTTCCCCCCCCTCTTTCCTTCTCTTTCTTTCCTAAGAAACTCTGTCTTACATGTTGTCCAGCCTGACCCCAAGTGATCCTCCTGCCTGGGGCTCAAGTGATCCGCCTGCCTCAGTCTCCCAAGTAGCTGGGAGTAGAGGCACACATGCCACCATATTCTTATTTTTTAAAAGGATGGATAGGAAGTGGTACGTGCTAGGCAGTGAGATAAGAAGTGTACATTATTGTCACCTACAGTGATAGGTAGTTTAGCTTATTGTCAGAAGTATCAGCCTTGGACTTTTAGAGAAACTTTGGCTCAAATCTCCGTTCTTGTACTAGCTAGCTGTGTTACCTAGAACAAGTTACAAAACTTTCCTCCTTCTTAACTAAGTGGTCTATTTAATGTGTCAACTGTCTAACAAGAATGAGGTGCTTCACATATGGCTAGGTTTCTGCTATTAAGCTAACAAACTTTGATTATAATTTAGCCTCTCAGGTAGATTCGTTTTATAGGGAAACTCACTAATTACAGAATATGAGCATCCAGTCTGCAAAACTAGACCCTTAATGTTTGTAAGAAATCAGTCTCCAGAATCCTTTCACAACTGAATGTGTAAATAAAATAAAATATGGGTTCCATGGGGTCATTATCCTACTCCTGAGAATTTTGTGCCTACTGAAGTACTGTACCATTTGACAGTAACTGAAATTATATCTTATAAACTATTCTGCATTATAAAACAAATGAATTATTTTTATCATTGAGAGCTAATTGCATTACTGAAAATTTACTGGACCAAACACTGAGGCTTCCCAGATCCTTATTATTTTCACCATTTCCACTGGGTCCAGGTACAATCAGATAGAAGTTGATATTTTAGAGGGTCTCATTTATTGTCATAGCCTAAGTTTTAATTCAGTAAAGAAATTTTCTGAGTTGTAGTGTTGACTCACTGATGATTTTTTAAATGACCTACCCCGCTTTTTTACATTTATTCTTTAGTTGTAGGTGTACACAATATCTTTATTTTGTTTTTATGTGGTGCTGAGAATTGAATCCAGTGCCTTGTGCATGCTAGGCAAGTGCTCTACCTCTGAGCCACAACCCCAGTCCTTTTTAAAATGCCCTTCTTTTTGAGTTAATTTAACAACGTGATTTTTGATACGAATAAAAATCCTTTAAATTAATGTCACTCATGACAACCTCTGTAGTGCAATAACTGCATAATATCCAAAATCACCTAGAGATAGGCAGGGAAGAAAAATCCATAATTAACTTCTGCAGACAATATTTAAACTGGGAAAATAGTTGATCTGAAACAAGTTTAAGTATCTTTTGAGTGTTTTCTTTATATTTTTAGGACTGAAGAAAACAAGAATAATAACAATGTGCATCCTACTTCAAATAAAGGTACATTTTTAAAGTTTTTTTTTTTTTTTTGTAAAGCCCTATTACCAAATAGAGTAAGAGCACAGACTTAGCCAGACTTCCTTGATTAGCATCTCAGTTCCACACAGCTGTAATGTTGAAAGGCAAGTTAGCTTACTCTCTGTTCCTGTTCTCCTGTGCTTTAAGAGGGAATAAAAACAGTGTCTACCTGGATGGATTTTAATAGCATTTAAAAAGCAAATTAACCTTTTAAAAGTGCTTAAAACAGTGGTTGCCATGTAAATTCTACATGTTTGTTAAGTGAGTAATAAATACCTTAGATCACACTTATTATCATGATCAATCTTTGATAAAGGGAAATGTTCCCATCTGATGTACAAACATTTAAGCAAAAGTCTAAGATTTGAGTCTTGTTAGCCAAAATTGGTATAAACGCCCTCCCTTTCCATTTTCACATATTCCCATTCCCAGGTCATTCCTTTTTCACAAGGTCACTGCATATTAAATAAAGTGTGTGCCTTGGATTGTTATGTTGGCTAATCATTTGTCCTTAACTCTTCTCTCATCAGCCTGAGAACAAGAAAAGCAAGATTGAGGCCTCTGCAATGAAACTCAGGCAATAAAGTTAATAGCTGTTCATGACTACCTACAGCAAAGGCAAGGTAAGCAGATAAGAGTCTTTTCCTCACTGCTGAGGTGCCAGCCAAGGGGGTGGACCCCCCCACCCCCACCCCCACCCCCATTTCTTCCTGGTTTCAGCAGGATTTCTGCCTTTTCTCATTGCGTAAACACAGGCTACCAAGCCTTCCAACTTAGGCTAAATTACTTAACTTACTCTTTGCCTCAGATCTCCCTGAAGAAAACAAGTCCCACCTGCAAACTAGGGTTTAATCATGCTATGAGATTAACGAGTTAATACCTACCAAGTGCCTGCATAATGCATACGTGTATAAAAGGGATGCCATAAATTTTGGTGTTATTATTTTGTGGGACTAGATTTTTTAAGTTCCGTGATTGCTTTTTCCTTAAGAATTTGTTTCAAATAACTGTACTGCTCAGAAAAATGGAGAAGAGGGGTAGATGGGGGAAGTGGCCTGCTGGTTGGAAACCGAGTGGGGGTAGTTGGGAGAGGGGAGGGACAGCAGGAGACGCTTATAATAGCCCAGAAGGGCAAAGTCTGTTCTGGAGCTTCCAGAACAAACTTTAGCATGAGAATCCGCGCAGAACCCCAGGGGTCAGCAGCTTCTGCACAAAGCGGCCAAAAAGGGAAGGCTTTCAAAACCAGCAGGGTTTTCAAAGTCCAGCGCAGGAGATCTTTTGACCCCGGGAGTAGCCGCAGCGGGCCTCAGAACAGCCTCTACTCCACTAAAGTTTCCCAGAGTGGCCTCGGTGGCCCTCCCGCTCCCAGACACGCTGTTGCCCCGCCAAGTGCGTCTGTGTCTGCGCGGCTCTAGCAACCTCCCTGAGAGGCATCTATCTGGTCCTCCCTTCAGCCATACAAGTGACCAAAGACTGCCACCAAAGCCACCAGCACAGTGAGAATTAGCACCAAACCCCGGGATCTCAGGGGCGTGGCTCGCGAGGAGGCCCCACCCGGCCACCCCATTGGCTAACGCTGCCGCGTGGGTGGGATCCGCGGTCACCAGTCCGGGACCCGCAGCTCCGCCCGAACGTGGGTCCATGGGGACAAGAGGCCCAGGTGGGTGAGAAGCAAGCTCCTGTGCCCAGGAAGCCCGGTCCCCGGGCCATGGGGGCACAGGTGAGGCTGCCTTCCGGAGAGCTCTGCCAAGAAGGTGAGTTTGTACCCCGAGGGGGGAGAGATCCGGCATCTGTGTGGCCAAGAGACCAGGTGGGCGGTCCCGGGGTACCTGTGCAGACGCGAAAGATGCACCGACTCCACGCAGTCGTCAGTGTAAATATTCACTTAATTGTTCAGTCAGTGCGCTGTGCCGGCCAACCAATGTTTAGTGGTGCTTACGATATTCGGGTTTCTTGGGAAAGCCTGGGGGGGATCAAGACAGTGGTGAGTCCCACTCGGTCCTGGGGGCTGACCACTGTGAACTGCAGCGTGCTCAAGTATGTGACGGAGCAAGTCAGGACTATGGAGAGACTCCCAGATCCCATCGCAGAAGGAGGTTTCCTCTGATTCAGACTCGCTTCCAGAGGGCGAGGTAGTCGTCACCCAGTGGGCAGAGGGCGTGCCCAGGAACCCTGCTGGAGTCGGGTGCCGAGCCCTGCGCTGGCTCTGCGAGGGTCCAACACCCCGAAGGGTCATGCGCCCTACACCTCCGGGAAGGGCGATGGCCAAGTCTGGGTCCCCTGGCTTCTCTTCTTCCTTGGATATGAAAACATCTCTAACCCGCTACCCTGGCTTCTGACTCGCGGTGCAGTTTTTTCTCCGCAGCTTAAAAGAGAGAGCAGGATGGGAGAGAAACCCGGGAACCCGGGGCACTCTTCTCTAAGTTGTTCTCGCTGCTTGCTGCTCTGCGTTTACAGCCCCTATCTGAGCCCTGTGAAGTCACTGGGCGCGGCCCCATGCACTTCACCAGGTGTTCACAACACTGACAAGCTTTCCACACTTTCGACACAGAAGGTGCGTGTAAGCCTGGAGAAAAGGGAGGAAGCTTGCAGGTGAGCTTGCGGGGGTGGGTGGAGTGTACACCAACTGAAATAATGTTTTTCACGGCGCCACGAGGAAAGCCTATTTATAATTTACCTGGCAATGATGTAAAGACGAAGGTGGAGGGGGTAGTAAGCGGCAAGGTGAGAACTAGACTTTTGCAAAGTTGCTGGTAACTTCCTTGGTTTCCTTTCCTTGACCTCTTCCAGCGTATTCCTTGATGAAAAAGTCGGGGGTGGGGGCGGCAGTGAACTCTTTAAAACTGTACAAGCAAGCAAGAAATAGAACACTCCTAAAAAGGAAAAATGCCTGAACAATTTTCAAACTATTCAAAAATTTAGATTGGTGGTTACTAAGGCGGGCTGTGTCCAGAATTATTTCCTAGATAGTCAGATAGTTGCCCTTTTTCCTAAATAATTCCCAAACCAGTAAGTCATACTGTTACTAATATACCCACCCTTGTTTACTCAAGGCTCTGTAAGTAAGGAGGGTGTGGAATTACACCCACTTGTTTGAGCATCCGGATGTTTTTCCTGCTTTGCTCATACACTTAGTTCCAACAAGAAATATTAAAGCTCAGTGCTTAATACCTGTGATTAATTGTGGTAATTAATTATGTAAAAAGATGGTGGGAAAGAAGAGAGAAATTAGAATCCATATTTTCAGTAGTGAGAAGAGATTAGGCTTTGGCATCAGACAGTTTTCCCAGCTTCAGCCTTTCCTCATCTGTAAAATGGGAAGAATTCCCACAGTTTACAGCTGTGGGGTAGATGCAGGTGGGATTATATATGAAACAAGAAATACTGAACCTGACATGGGGTCAACATGGACTCAGTTTTTCATTTGTTCAAATAACAGATGAGTCTCATGTGCCAAGAACTAGCCTAAGCACTAGGAAAGGCATTTGCAATATAGTCTAATCCTAGACTCTAGGAGTAGGTCCTGCTTTTGCACAGCTTAGTTTCCAACTGGCAAATAATATACAAGAAGCGAATTAACTAAAAAGTAGATTACAACATGGTCTCATGAATAGTGTATTGAGGATGTTGGGGATATTTAGATTGGGTTACTCAAAGCCCCTTAAAGAAAGAACTTTAAAGAATCAATAGTATCTTCTCAATTTTATTGCTTGCTTGCTTGCTTGATTTTCTAGCTGAGACCAAAATGACAAGGAGTCTATCATATATCTAAGAAATCAAGGAACTGCAACTCCTTGAGAACTGGCTGAATCTCTCTTTTGTAATGATTAGGACATTTCCCATATTTATATATATAATCTTAAAAATTCAAATGTATCTGTTTGTCCTTACACATAATTAAATTCCATGAACTTTATTAGACAAGTATGTCCATTTTAAAGATATAGAAACCAAGGCCCAAAGAACTGAGTAGGATTTCATAATTACAGATCAAGTTCAAAATTGTTTGGACCTTTATTTCTCCTGTGTTGCCTGCAATGGACTAAATGGTGTTTGCAGTTTATTGATATAAATGCCAACTTGTTGCAATATTGTTCCTTAATTATTTTCCTGCATCTTCAGTTTATAAAACTTTTTTTAATTTCAAGGGGATTTTTAATCTTTAACAATATAGTAACTTTATTAATGAAAAGTTGATAAAGTGAAAACAGCAGCAGCCCATAAGCTCCCCACTGTGTTTAGAAATACAAGTTTTAATTTTTTAAAGAATCAATAGTACCTTCTCAATTTTATTGATTGATTGATTGATTTTCTGTTCCGGGGATTGAACTCAGGAGCACTCAGCCACTGAGCCACATCCCCAGCCCTATTTTGTATTTAGAGACAAGGTCTCACTGATTTGCTTAGTACCTTCTCATTGCTGAGGCTGGCTTTGAACTCACCATCCTCCTGCTTCAGCCTCCCGAGCCACCCCTGTACTCAATGTTATTTTGATTAAATGGAATAATGGGCACCTTACCAGTTATCAGTTTATGTATAGATTTGTCTAATAGGACATGATATCCCAATTTGTTCTAAGTTCTCATTCTCTTCCAAAGTTGCTGTAAATTGTTTTCACCCTAACTCTGCTCTGATTTTGTTCTGAATGATCTCTCCTAACTATTTTGCTCCCTTATTATTGTTTGCTTTTTCTCTCACTAACATGGTCAGTTTTGCCAGAACAGAGACCTGTTCACCTGTCTTGTTGACCATTATCTCATCAGTTCTTGGGACAGGACTGATACAGAGAAAGTACTCAATAAGAATCAGCTACATGCTGCACAGATGATAGCTAGCATAGTGCCTTGCAAGTTAAGTGTCCAACAGCTGTTTTGTTGAGCAAATCAATGAAATAAATATATGGATATACAGTGTTGTTACAAACACCATTAAGCTGTAAAAAGTGTGGGAGTCTTATATATTGATGTGATGGAAAGTAATTGAGAGGATCCTTTAGATTGAGAATGCAAAGAAGACTCTCTAAGGAGGTGACTTTGTGTGTGTGTGTGTGTGTGTGTGTGTACGCATGCCCCCATGCATAGACACACACACATACACACATACCTGTTAGGCAAGCCCTCTACCACTGATCTACACTCCCATCCCCAGGAGATGACGTTTCAGTGCTAAGAAGGAGCTAGCTATGCTAGCCAGCACTCAGTAACGTACTAGGTAATTACTACTCAAAGAGCTTTAAGGTAGAGGAACAGGGAAAAAAATATTTCTTTTTTTAATCAGTAGGGAATGAGGTTACAGAGATGAAGGCAAGATACTGCAGGGCCTTGTAGACTATGGTGGGGGATTTGGGGAGAGAAACAACAAGATTCGACCTACTTTTCTGTAGGCTACTACACCTGAACTTGCCCTTTCTACTTTGACTGCATGTCACACCATCTCCCTTCTGTCACTCCAGCCAGCCTGGCTGAGTGCAGTTCCTTTCACTTCTCAAACACATTCTTTCCTCAGGGTGTTTGATTTTTCATCTAATCCTGTTTTTAAAAATCTATTCATTCATTGATGCTGTTTTTACTACTTCCCATACTGATCTTACCATATCATACAGTTATCTGTTTGCCCCACCAGAATATACAAGACCAAGGTTTTTGTTGAATTTCATGTTGTATCGTCAGCTTCCCCAAACTGCCTGACAGATAGTAGACACTCAATAAATAGTTAAATAAGTAAAAAATTGACTAGAGCTGTTTCAGGGCTGGGTGAGAGAGGAAACAAGGCAATAGAATGTCAGAGGTGGGCATGTTTCAGAGCATACAAGGCTTTACAGTGGGGTGGTTTTGTTGAAATTGGGATGAAAACCCATGGAGGGGATGGGAAGGATTAAACAGGGAAGGACATAATCTGATTCACATTGGTCAGTATTTGGGGATAAATTGTAGTGAAGATACAAGATTTAATTCCATTTTTTCTATGCCACTTGGAATAGGCAGGTTTACCATATTCTTTTGTATCTGCAGGACAGCTGAGGGTGACTGGTCTAGACTTGGTTCACTTGGGTGTTTTTGATTCACGCTGTAACCAGCTGGGGTTGGATTTTTCCTGTGGGATGAGCAGGCCTTCTCCACATCTTTTTTGTTTGTCTGTTTTTTTCTGGGTGGGATTCAGGCTGAAGGAACAGCAGGTGCTCAGGGAATTACAGAGTTACAAGAAGTAAATCTAACCAAACATCACCTCTGCTGTTTTCTTAGTGGCCACAAAGTCACTTCCAACTTGATGTCAAGAGATGCAAACAATCACCCGAGATTATGGACTTCCTTTTATGGCTTATTTCACCTTGCAGTTTTGGAGGTTACAGTCTATGATCAATGGATCACATTGCTTTGGGCCTGTGGTGAAGCAGCACATCATAGCAGGAGCATGGGGTGGAGCAGAACTGCTCACCTAATCATAAGAAAGGGAATGGGGGTGTAGGGGGTAATAAGGAGAAGTAGTCTGAGGATCACAATCATTTTTATAAGGGCATGCCTTCACTTACCCAAACAACTTTCACTAAGCCTTACTTTTCTCTCTCTCTCACCCAGTTTTTCTTTCTTTTTCTTTTTTGGTGTGTGTGTGTGTGTGTGTATGTTCTTTTATTAGTGCATTACAATTATACATAATAGTTGGGTTCATTTTGACAAAATCATACATGCATGGAATTTAATTTTCTCCACTGTAGTCCCTGGTGACCCCTTTTTCCTCCCCTTCTCCCACCCACTTT